CACATGATTGGCTGTAGACCAAAAGAGAAACCTGATTCAAAAACAAACCTAACATGTTTGACATTATTAAAGATATTCTGTGCTGTCCTGCAACTATTTTTCAAATGTTACACTGCCTGCCCTGTGCGCCTAGTGCCAAATAGCATTTGAGGCAGAAATAAATCACTATGCATTTATTAGTTGCAGCTATTGGTTAACACAGCTTAGTGAGGAAAAGGGAGCACTTGGTTTGATTCAAGGGCTCTCACTGCTCATGCAAACACAGCAGAATCATTGTCACATGAGACTGAGATTGCACAGGGATCTAAATCACATTCACAAAACGATTTATTGTGCAGCCCTAAGTCATATGACTGGTGATTTTTAAATGCTTCCTACACTATGTGCACATACACACAAATATTTCTTTTAAATTTGATTCAGATATGACTCACTGATTGATGCTGCTGTAGCTAATGCAGCACTAGTGGAACAATAGAGACATAGTCTTGTGTTTAAGTATGAGCTGACAGCAGGGACAGGATAAGCCAATACTTGAGGATACGTGTGTTCAGCTGTTGGTTTACACTATAATTCATCCTACAACTCTTTCTCCATGCAGTGCTGCAGGGTGTAATTATGCCTTTACATTATTTTACATAATCTTCCTCATAATAAGAAGCTATCTAATGCTGTTATGTGCCCCCACCCATTGTGACTGTTTGCTTGCAGTTATGGTATACAAAAAGGAATTTTTGTTTAAGCTTAGCAGATTGGCTTGTTTGCTACAACAGTGATTAATCTCCATCCTTTAAACGCTACTACTTTTAGAGCAAAACCAGCTTGGGGGACCATTTGACTAATGTGGAGATCAACCGAGACAATGTGTCTGAGATCTTGCAGATCTACCTGGAGGCTCACTGTGAGCAGACAGAGCTGGCTGTTCTGGCCCTCAGCCTCAGGACTAAGGCTTTTCAGGCCCACAGTCCGTCACAGAAGGCCTCCATGCTAGCTTTCCTGGTTAATGAGCTCTGTGGTAGTAAAGCTGTAATCAGGTGAGCATCTTGCCTCCTTCTCATACTCATGTCATCTTTTAATTTTGCAGCTTATGAAAAGAAATGATTATTAATTTACACTTTTCCCTAAAAGAGAGTAAGGAAGGAAGTTATTTAATTATAGTAAATGAAACTACCACTAAAAGAAAGCCTGGTCTTTTTAAGGTTTTAATACACTTGTCTTAAATAAGTCATTGTTGTCTTGTAAAATTTATGGAGTACACTGCATAAGCAGTTGTTTTATATGTGCTTGATATGAATAAATTAACCTCTTTGAGAGTGGACGATGTTAGCCTCTTTCACTCATGGCAGGCTTAACTTTTGCTGAAATAACAGAAGCATCAAAAGGAATGTTAAGTATTCAGTTTCACAGGGTTACATCAACCTATGTGATATCAATTTTTCATTAGTACTGGTAATACTTTGAAACACATCTGGCGCCTATTGCAGTCTGATGCAATAGTGCCATGTTGTTATTATACAGGAGAGTCACTGAAACATCTTTTTCAATATTTTTCTGGTGTTTTGCAGTGAGATTGACAAAAGCATAGATCACATGACCAATCTGAGGAAGGATAAGTGGGTTGTTGAGGGGAAGCTTCGCAAGTGAGTATATAGGTGTTGCTGGAAGGTTCTGTGCATACACTTGAAATTTGTGATGGTGATGCTGAAACAACCTGGAATTTTTAACTAGTTAAATCTCAGAGGACTGTAGACCCTAAAAGCCAAGTTTAATTTCTGCCCTGTGCATTTTTTTTCCCCCAAAGACTGAGGAATATTCATGCCAAGAAGACGGGGAGGAGAGAAGGCAGTGTAGGAGGAGGGGACAACCACACCTTTGTCATCGCCACTGCCAGAAACAAGTCCAAGAGGAAAGAAGGGGACAGTGAGGAAGAAGAGGATGAGGATGATGACAGTGAGGACCAAGGAGATGATGAGGAGGAGGAAGAGGAAGAAGAATCAGGGGGAAAGAAAGGGAAGAAAGCAGAGACATGTGAAGAGGAGGTCTGTGAGAGCATAATGCTTTTACTGAAACCAGCAACTAAAAAATAAGTTTGTAAATGCCAGCTACTCTACTGTCCTCACACTGATGAAATTCTTTTCATCTAGGACAACAGTGTACACTCAGTCAGTGTCGAGGAGCTGGAGAAACAGATTGAGAAAACATACAAGGTAAATGAAATGATCTGAGTCCGTTTTATGTGGATGAGTTTGTCAATGAATTTAATACATGACAGTTTAACCTCCTGTACCGTCTGTCTCTGTAGCAGCAGAGTCAGATCAGACAGAAGCTTTTTGACTCCTCTCACTTACTACGCTCCATGATGATTGGACAGGACCGCTACAAGAGACGCTACTGGGTCCTTCCACAATGTGGTGGCATCTTTGTTGAAGGCATGGAGAACGGTGAAGGTGCAAACCCAAACTGACAGCTCAGTTTATTATATCCACTCAGAGTTTTAATGTTTCTTGTGCACTTTGCCTAAGCTGACATTTCATGTTACTCAGGCTTTGAAGAGGCGGCGAAAGAGAAGAAAAGACAGAGGACTGCTTCGGTGATGAGTGTAAAAGAGGAGCAGCTGGAAGAGACGGAGATGCCAGTGGTTTTCTGTCCATTACAGAACACAGACAGTGGTACAACCATAGCAAAGAGGCAGCAGGACAAAGACCATCTCAGTCTCTTCCTCCAGACACCTGGCTCCTTATCTAAGCTCAACAAACTCCCTGAAGTAGCTAAAATGTCTCAAGATCCAGACATCAATTCTCACCACAGTCACAACACTCATTCTGCTAAAGTCCCTACCACTGCCTCTTATCCCTTGTATCCTATCTCTCAGACAGACATATCCCACAGCTCCCTGTCTGCAGCCTCTCAGCAGGGACTCATTGATAAAATGGATACTTCAGTGCCATCTTTGCTCAGTTCCCCTCAGCTCAAGAGCAGTCCCTGGATACCCTGCGGCCCTCACTCTATCTTTCATGATGACCAGCTCTCCAAAATACGGACAGAAAAGGGTAACCAGTGGTTTAGCCTGTTGCCTCGCTGTCCTTGTGACGATTCCACGGTCACCTCTGGCTCAAGTCTTCCAGCCTACTCTTCTCCACAGACCATTAGCGCCAAATCCTCCTCCCTCTGCCCTAATCCCCTAGCTACAGCCAACTACAATACTCCTGCTGGGATCAATAACAGAGAGTCATCTCTCCTCCAGGTTGGTGGAAAACAATAACGCTACAGTATCAATATACTTCAGATCACACTGATATGTGTTGCAAGTGTTATTCCATATTACATGACCATTTTTCCCATGTTGCGAATGGATGTGAAACTCTAAGCTTTGTTATAGTGGTTGCCTTGTACAGCGTGTTGTGCATGTGGTAGTGGAATAAAATTGTTATAAATTGATCATAATTTAAACTGTGTGTATTTTTCCTCTCAGCAAGTAAAGTCGGGCAATCCCCAAAACAGACTGATAGTGTGTGACGTGTCCAGACAGCCCCTCCCTGGCGCTTCTCTACACTCTGTGGTGGATCTGGCCTCGCAGTATGCAGAGGGTAATGGGAACAGTGTCCTCTTCCTTGCTAATAACAAATCTGTCAACAACACTGAAACCCCAGTGGCCCAGAGTGACAAGCGCCTTTGTGCCTCATTCCCTGATATGGAGGTGGCTAAGACCCAAGACTACCCTGGTCCTCAGCCTATCCCCGAAGGTAAATATAAACACAAAATATATCCACTGCTCAGACAACACTGTCACTCATTTCCCTACTGTTAAAATTACACACTTGTGTGACAATAGGTTTTAAATATGTGCTGTGTGTGTTGGCAGAGATGCTGCATGGATGGTGGAGAGTGTCAGACATGGAGGCACTGCACAATCTGGTTAAGGCTCTCCACAGCCGAGGCATCAGAGAGAAGGTCTTGCAGAAACAGATCCAAAAGAATATGGAATACATGACCCAGCTCTGTGCCAACAGTAAAGATGGTGTGTCCACAATAGGCAACAGCACAGTGATATAAATAAACAATATATTATTTGACCTTTGAGATGCAGCACTTTGTTGCCTTACATAAATAGGTGGTAATAATTGTATGTATCTGTGGCGGCAGTGATTGATGTGGTAGAGCTGGAGAAGCAGGAGGTGAGTGAGAAGTCAGTGGAGAGTTGGTGTATTGAGGAGCAGGCCATGGAGGTGGACACCAGCTTGCTGCAGCAGGTCGAGAAGCTAGAGAGGAAAGTCGTCTCTGCCAGCCTGCAGGTCAAGGTACAGGCAAGGAGGCATCCTGCTCTGTCATCCACTTAGCTCATGCAGATGAGAAATGTGGTTTTCATTATCATGATTTCTACAATGTATGAAGGGATAGGCTCCAGTTTCCCTACTTCATATACTGTAGATGTGCCTTACTGTTTTACCAAGCAGCATGTGGTGACAATCATAATTTCACCACTGTATCTCTCAGGGTTGGACACACCCTCAGCTCCAGTCAGACAGGGAGGACCTGGTCTATCATGAGCACAAGTTATTCACTTCTCCAGCTACAGAAACAAAGGGTCAGAGAGAAACCAGCACAGAGGACAGTCCCAACACTGTGGTGCGGCGGCCCAACAATCCGCTTGACATCGCTGTCACTAGGCTGGCAGAGCTGGAGAAGAACATTGAACGAAGGTACCTACAGTACAGAGAAACCTTAAAGACAACCATTTAGATAAGAATGGATAATGCTATTGTAACTATACATGATGCATCACATGGGGGAAAAAAAAACGACTGACATTTTCAGCTTTCAACTGTTCTTATGCTCCACAATAAATGTACATGGATGCTTAAAACGTGATATTGATTCCCGCTTATTTTTGAAGTGGTTAATGTTTGTTGTTATTGGCTGTTATCATTCCGTGAGATAAAATGACTATGTGTTTGCTGTACAGTAATACTGAAGTCTGATTTTCTGTGACCTTAAAGTAGTGAGGAGGAGGCGACTCCTGGGCTGAGGTTGTGGCGTAAAGCCCTTAATGAAGTCCGCAGCTCAGCTCAGCTGTCGCTCTGCATTCAGCAGCTGCAAAAATCCATCGCCTGGCAACGGTCCATCATGAAAGTGGTTAGTGATGCCTTGTGTGTGTCTCTATCAAGGATTTGTTTGTCTTCAACAGCTTTATCATACATAAATTTAGAGACCAATTTATAGTGCATACTACCCCTCTTTTTGCAGAAGATTAAACGGTGCTTTCAGACTGATTGGCTTTTCATTTCATTTACTAAAAGTGTGATCAATGTGGTTGGTTGAATTTTTTTGGTATTAAAAAAGTAATATGCATAATTCAAAGAATAAAACAAATCTACAAGGCTTATTGTTCTTGTGGGGCTATGTAACAGTTGAAAAGAAGCTAAAGGTACACTCGCAGCATGAATCAACATCACCAGGAAATGACTGTTTAAGACAATAGCGCAACCAGTAACAAATCGGTGTCATTCAAAAAATCTGGCTACACAAAACTACATAAACTCCAGTTCATAGTGAAGTGCAGTATCTCTCTCTCTCTCCATACATATATATTCGGTATGGTTTGTTTCCAGCACTGCCAGCTCTGTCAGAAAGGAGATAATGAAGAACTGCTCTTACTTTGTGATGGCTGTGACAAAGGCTGCCACACATACTGCCATGAACCCACGATCACCACAGTACCTGATGGCGACTGGTTTTGTCCCACTTGTGTGGCCAAGGTACATCAGTGTACCCTGAGTGGTGACTCACAGACCTGATACTCTTTTATTGTCATTTAATAGAATCTTATAGTGCAGTATCACTGTAGGTCTCAGGGGCCTCACCTCATGTAATTGTCATGGATAAAGTTGTAGCTAATATCCAGTTAATTACACTGAATATATGTTTTTGTGTTCTGTCATTCAGGAAAGTGGTCACCCCCCCTGGAGTGAGAAGCAACAGAGCCAAACAGCTGGAGGAGGGAAGAAAGACAGTGAGGTAAAGCAAAATAATAAGCCACCCGTGGTAGGAGAGCTCATCAAAGAAGAATCTGTCGGCAGCAACAGTCCGACAAAGAAAGGGACCAAGGAGTTCAAGAAAAGAAAGAGAGACGACAACCCACCCAGCTTCCAGGCCAAGCAGCTCAGCAGCCCTGTCTCCTGTGCAAAAAAAGTCAAACTGGCCAAAGACGACACAAATGACCTGGCAACGTGCCGGTACGTATGGACACGTGTTCACTGCATAGGACCCAGCAGCCTCATTGAATGATTAGACCATTATCATCATTCCTTTTTTGAATGTGTAGTTATAAATCTACCATAGTCCGGACAACCATGTTGAGATTTTAAATACTAAAGGCTGAAATCTGTTTTCACTATAAGTGGGGGGGGAAATCATATGATGATGATGATGATGCTTGATAAATCATGATGTTTCAAGCTTGCTCTGTAACGGATGGAACTACTTTGAAATGAAGTGAAAGGTTTGCCCTCCTGTTTTGTCCAGAGTGCTGCTGGCTGAGCTGGAGGGCCATCAGGATGCCTGGCCTTTCCTCTCACCAGTCAACCACAAAGCTGTTCCTGGATACAGGAAGGTCATCAAGAAGCCCATGGACTTCTCCACCATTAGAGAGAAGCTCGCCAACAATCGGTATGTGGTTTCAGTTTAGTTGGTGTTTAAAAACAGTTTTTACATGCATATTATCACGAGTATTTATAGTTTTAAATGTAAATTTCAATGCTGCATATTATTTGAAACAATTTCTAATGATTACAGGTACTTAAATTTGGAAACTTTCATCATTGATGTGAACCTGGTTTTTGATAACTGTGAAAAATTTAATGAAGATAATTCAGAAATCGGACGAGCAGGCCACAATATGAGGAGATTCTTCGACAAACGATGGACTGAACTACTGAGATAAAAAACAAAAGGTCTGTTCTCTACATAACTTCATTTTTGTTGTCAGGGGCCTTCTCTTCACTTGTGACACTAAATACAGTTATACTGACACCGATGTGCAATGTGAAAAGACAAACGCTTCCACTGTATCTGGTGAGGAACAAAACACTTGGATTATATGGATTAACATCTTCAAGTGCAATACTGTTTTCTTTATCAAAATGCACTGACTGGAACTCGGTATTGTGTTTGGTAATTGAGATTCACACTGTAGGTAAGTCATTGACTTTTTTTATCACCAGTACTGCAGTAGAGCTTTGTGTACATGTGTATTTATGTTTGTCTTTTTTCAGAAAAACTAGAAAAAAAAACATTCAGCTTTAACAAAATGTGAAGATTGTTTTAAGGACTGTTGAACAGGCCAATCAAAGAAGAACTGTTTAGAGCTTTGTGACCATAGGATGCCAGCTGTACTGCTGTTTATCTGCATTTCTGACTTGTGCAAAATATGAGGCGGTATCAACGGCACATCAAGATCAATGATTTTTATTGTCTATTCACTATATGTGCAGGACATACAGTTTCTCTTTCACCTAGTATTGAATGCCATACCATTTGGGGAACTAGAATAGAATAAAAGTAGAGTAAAAATAGACTAAAGAATAAGAAAACAAAGTCATTGATTAGGATAAAACGGAACGGTACAACCTAATGTAACATGTAGTGTCCAGTTGTCGCTATTAATATGTCCTATTTCTACGATGTATAGTGTGTACATACAAACACGGTCTTGTTGAATAATTGTGAATGCAGAAGTTTGATTGTTGTATTTAACACAGTAAGTCTTGTATATTGCCTGAGCTGAACTTAAAACACTGCAGTCGCCCCAGTATTGTAGTGCCTGACCTCTGACAGTGTACAGAGGAGTGTGCCCCCTGATTTTCAGTGTGTGTGTGTGTGTGTGGGTGTGTGTGTGTGTGTGTGTGTGTGTACTGTACCCATAGGAAACCCCTTAAACAATGTAAACCTCTTAAATAGCTTTTCCTCTGAATCCATGTGGTGCATATACAGTACTATGTTTCATCTCAAAGCATTATCTTCAACCAGTCTTGTCAGACATCCTGTGGACAGATGTGGGAACCTGCACTGGGCTTCAATCCAGCCAGCAGTCAGACCGTGTTCCGGTCCACTGGAGGCATCTGAAGAAAGCCGAAGTCAGAAGTAACTGTATTTTATTATGAAATGAGTGGCAGCTTTTGTAAGAATATTATTTTTAAATAGTTGTGTGGTACAGCTTAAATAAACCTGGCTTTTCAAAACAACCCTATTACCCACTCACTAGCTCACCTTTTTAGACATGTTATAATAATCATTTAATATCATTGATACTGGCTAAAGTTAGACCACTGAGCAACTGAGTGCCAGTGTTTTACTTGTGTACCTGTATTAAAATTTTTGCTACTTTGTCTCCAATTAGAAAATAATGTAGCTACTTTAAACTCCACAGTGATGGAAAGTAACTACATTTACTGAAGTACTATACCTAAGTACAGTTTTGAGGTATCTGTACTTGAGTATTTTTGTGCTACTTTGACTTCACTACATTTATTTTATAGCTTTATTTTCTAGTTTTCAAAATGAGATCAATAAAACAAAATGCAGTAAAATTATAAGACTTTATTGATCTCCATTGGAAAATTCATGTAGCCGAAATTCAAATAGGCATAAACTGATTCAAACTAGCTCCACCTTTACCAACTGTAACATTAAATAAGATGTACACAATGTATTGGTAATTCTAATCTAATAATATGATGTATATTAATGTTAAATGTGCCATTTTGCTTAATGACTGTTTTGATAATATTTTGTCCTTAAGTATCATTTTGAATGCAGGACTTTTACTTAGTATTTACACTATGGTATTACTACTGTTAAGTAAACAATCTGAATACTTATTCCACTGCTGATGCTCCATTGCATTTAGTTATGTAGCCTACTGCTCATAGAAAACCTGATAATCAAATGAAATTCATTGAATACATGTACTGAACCTACACAAAAGTGCACGAAGGAGTTGAAATGCACCCCCACATCGACTAGTTACATTAAATGTCTGCTTACGCATTAACGTAACACGGAATATAGCCAGACTAAACACTTTTGTGTTTGATTCTTAAAGAGAATTTTGCTTCTAATTCGCATATCAATTTGCTTAAGTGGGCAACTGTAATGTTTTGACCCGTCGTACTTATGTTGGTACCAATCTCACCTGTTTATGGAATTTTGATTATGAATATGGACATTGCGTAATTCGGCGTCACATGCCTGATAACGACTCTAGGAGATAACGCAGTATACAGGTGAGCTGAAACAGGAAGTGTCACGAGTTTCTACCCTGGACGCACAAAGGAACAGTCTTTACTTAGTGCTTTGTGTCAAACGACACCAGCAGCTGTTTTGTATCGTCACTCGGCTCTACTCTCTCATTTCAGAGGCGAATATTTTAGTATTTTGCGCCACCTTGTGAGGGAACCACTCCCTCTTCAGAGCCACCATACACCTGTTAAAAATGGTGTCACTCGTTTGCACTCTCCGACACCATACGGACGAGGTCAGCTGCTGTGCTTTCTCTCCTACCCTCCTGGCGACCTCTTCCGGCGATAAAACTCTCCGTGTGTATGGCACAGCCGACTTCTCGGAGCTTCCTTTTTCTCCTCTCTCGGGCCATAGCTACGGTGTTCACTGCTGCTGCTTCAGCTCCTGTGGCAGCTACCTGGTCAGCTGCTCCACAGACGGCTCCACCATGGCGTGGAGCTCGCACACAGGTGAGGC